GGTTTATGGAATATGGGTGGGGTCTTCCCCTACTACTGTCATCTTTCGCGTTGCTGAACTAGCAATTTTCGGAATGTTCTACTGATGCGTACATTGTAGCTTTCGGGCTGTTCAAATTCCAGATCCAGATATGCACGTCCAGTTGAATATCCCATATCATGCATTGCTGCCCCAATACGATCCACAAATTCTGGGACCTGGTTGGTATTTTCTTCGAAATTCTTTCCGCCAACTTCTTGCATATGTATGCCGATAAAATGCGCATTGCTTTCATTGATTACCTGAAAATTTAGTGCCTTTACTTCTTTGTCTTTGATTTAATCTATTAAAAATATTTTGAAGTCGAGTTACTTATACAGAGTCCTTGAAAAATAAACAAATTCGATAGATTCATAAGCATGACGTAGCAGGTAAATCGGCATGGATCCTAATGGTTCAAAAAAGGATATTTAAAAATTTTCTCTCCCTCTGCGCAATAGAACTAACTTAGCTTCCACTGGATAGCTTACTGTCCACATACAAAAATTTTAGTTTGTTCATTTTGCTGCTCAACAGTGAATGACACTCACGGAAAATAAAACAGCCACGCGAAGTGAGAACAGCAAGTAAAGTTGCCGTAAGCGTCTGCTTGTATTGCCAGTACGCAACCCGGTGGAGGGGTGGAAGAGGGAGCTGCACGGTCTTCGCTTTGATTTCCCCGTCAGTGTTGGTACATCTAGAAAGCAGGCAATGCCGGGTTTGCAGTGTGAACAGCTGATGAATTATTTCATGCAATTATTCACAATTTATAAAAAGTCTTCTGTGGTACCCAACAAATATGCGCGTCTGGAAATAATCTAATTTTCAGATCTGTAATGAGAAACTTACTTTTCTGAATGTTGTCAACCAAACGTTGTGGATGCGGCAGGACTGCAATAATGTGTGATATAAATTACAATCAATATTGTCTAATAGTTCTCATCAGTAGTGTGGTCGAAATTTTTTTCGAAAAGAAAGGGCACTTCTGTGCTGCTTTGGAAGTGGGAGGACACATTTAGCTGTTTCTGCA